AGCTGGAGCCCACGGTGGATGGTCTCCTGAGAGGGAACAAGTTCTTGCTGGTGTTGGATGATGTTTGGGATGCTCAGATCTGGGACGACTTGCTCCGCAATCCTTTGCATGGAGGAGCAGCAGGGAGCAGGGTGCTGGTGACCACCAGAAACGTAGGGATCGCGACGCAAATGAAGGCGGCCCTCGTCCACAGGATGAAGCAACTGCCTCCAGAGGATGGCTGGTCCCTCCTGTGCAAGAAGGCGACGATGAATGCAGAGGAGGAAAGGGATGCCCAAGATCTCAAGGACACAGGCATGAAGATTGTTGAGAAATGCGGGGGGCTTCCCTTGGCCATCAAGACCATCGGAGGGGTCCTCCGCGATAGAGGACTCAACAGAAGTGCGTGGGAGGAAGTTCTCCGCAGCGCCGCATGGTCACGGACCGGGCTTCCCGACGGTGTGCATGCAGCACTGTACCTGAGCTACCAAGACTTGCCGTCCCATCTCAAACAATGCTTTCTCTACTGTGCCTTGTTGCGCGAAGACCGTGTGTTCCACATGTTACCCATCGTCAGATTATGGATAGCCGAGGGGTTTGTTGAAGCACGAGGAGATGTCAGCTTGGAGGAAACAGGGGAGCAATATTACAGAGAGCTGCATCATAGGAGCCTTCTACAAGCGCAATTTTCCCATTCGGACGATGATCATTCCAAGATGCATGACCTGCTGCGATCTCTCGGCCATCTCCTATCGAGAGATGAGAGCTTGTTCATTAGTGACGTGCAAAATGAGTGGAGAAGTGGTGCCGCCCCGATGAAGCTGCGTCGGTTGTCGATTGTGGCCACTGAAACCATGGACATCCAGCATCTCGTCAGTTTGACCAAGCGTCATGAGTCGGTGAGGACATTGTTGGTGGAGGGAACACGTAGCAATGTGGATGATATAGATGATTGCTTGAAGAACCTCGTGCGACTTAGAGTCCTCCATCTTACGAGCAATCTTATGCACACAAAAATTGATATTCTACCGCACTATATCGGAAATTTGATACACTTGAGATACTTGAATGTGTCTTGGACCGGTATAACGGAGCTTCCAGAGAGCATATGCAATCTGACGAATTTACAGTTTTTGATCCTCACAGGATGTAGACAGTTGACACAGATCCCCCGGGGCATAGATGGGCTGGTCAATCTAAGGACACTCGATTGTCAAAGTACACGATTGGAGAGCTTACCATATGGAATAGGAAGGTTGAAGTACCTCAATGAACTCCGAGGATTCGTCGTGAACACGGCTACTGGTACATGCCCATTGGAAGCGTTAGGCGGCCTCCGGGAGCTCAGATACCTCTCCATTTCGTTGGAGAGGACGTGGCTGGAAGCTCAATCCGGAAGGGATACGAGCGGATTAAAAGGTAACAAAAAACTGAAGCATCTATATTTTCGTTGCTCGTCCACACCGACATCCGATGGTCACACGAAGAAACAGATTGAAAGAATCGAGAAGGTGTTGGATGTGGCACTTCATCCACCGTCATTTGTTGTTTCGCTCACGTTAGACAATTTCTTCGGCCTCCGGTACCCCAGCTGGATGGCGTCTGCAAGCATCAGTTCGCTTCTTCCAAACATAAGACGCTTGAAACTAATTGACTGCAATCATTGGCCACTGCTTCCACCGCTAGGGAAGCTCCCTAGCTTGGAGTTTCTTGAAATCGTCGGTGCAGATGCAGTGACCACCATCGGACCGGAATTTTTTGGGTGTGAAGTTGCTGCTACTGGTCATGATCGTGAACGGAATTCAAAGCTCCCTTCTTCTTCTTCTTCTTCTTCACCTTCTCCTCCGTTGTTTCCGAGTCTAAGGCAGCTGCAACTCTGGAATATGACTAACTTGGAAGTGTGGGATTGGGTAGCGGAAGGTTTTGCTATGCGTCGCCTAGACAAATTTGTCCTCCATAATTGCCCCAAGTTGAAGTCTCTACCGGAAGGCCTGATCCGACAGGCAACCTGCTTAACCACATTGTATCTGACCGATGTGTGTGCTCTCAAGTCCATCAGAGGTTTCCCTTCTCTAAAAGAACTGAGTATAATTGGTAAATCAGATCTGGAGATTGTTACTGATCTCCCTGCACTGGAGCTCTTGAAGTTGGTCACGTTTGGGTCTTGTTTACCAAGGTGGTTGGCGGCTGGCCCTGCATGCTTCACTTCGCTCCAGAAACTGGACGTACGGGGAACCACCCAACTACTCCGCAGATGCCTCCAAAATGGCGCAGACTGGCCCATGATCAAACACTTTCCAATTTTTTCCATCGATGATCAACAAGGCAATTATATAAACTACATCAAGCATTCCTACACCATCGAGACAAACCTAGTCGAAGATGCTGCTGCTGCTGAAGAAGAAGAAGACATCATCAATGAGCTTTGAGGTAACTTACCTTTCATGCTCATGTCTCGACCATCTAACGTCTTCTGGTTTTGGAGTGGCAACTCACAATCATCTTTTGCTGCTTATGGCAGGGAGATCGACATCATTCACGATGTAATTGGCAGTCATGTCTAATATGATCATTGCAAATGGAGCTGACCATGGAAAGTCCGAGACTTTTGAGCGGAAATGCAGATCGAGATGAGAGGTTGGCTGCGACTCATACTACATTCCTATGATATGGTGATGAAACTATTTTGGCTTTCTTTCTGTCTCTGTTGGATATACTTCCTGCAATGTGCATACTACTACTGCATCTTTAGTGCCCGCTTCCCTCCGATCTGTATACTACTGCTGCAATGTACATGTTAGAAATGGTATCGCCACACATCGCAAAAGCAGGGTGATGTTGCCTGTTCCTCAATCGACATTATGTCGGTCGTCTTTGATGTAAACAATCGGAAGGTGTTCGATCTTGGACCAGTCCTTGGCGTCCTTTTGGAGGAACCTGCGGAGCAGTTGATTGCTGCATTCTATGTCCAGTCTCTGGAGCGCAGTCAAGCATGGGAGACCTCCCCGTAGCCACTCGGGTAAAGATGGAACATGCCGCCACCTCTCCAACTGCAACACCTCCAGTTCAGGGAGATCGGTGACGATCTCCAAACCTGATTCACCACATACCCTCAAGTTCCTGACCGATGGGAAACCCCTGATGCACTTGAGAGCGCCGACGTTCTCTAAGTGCAAAGTGGTCAGGCAGGTGGCATGACGACTCAGGCCTTCCGGTAGAGACTCCAACTTGGGGCAATCGGCGAGGAACATACAGATCATGTGTTGTGGAATTACTGTAGAACTAAGATGCAGACCTGTGAGTCAGTCAAATATCTGATGTAGCTGTACCAGACGAAGTAGTAGTTTTCTGATTTGTTCTTCTGAATATACCTAAGATGACGAAACTGAAATGATTTCTCCCTTCATGATTCATGTTAATGTCAAGGAAACACAGATACCCATTAATCACCTACCATATCCAAGTTTATTTTCAGCAATGCAATAAGAAACATGCATACTGCAAAACACTCATAAGCACAAAAATTCTGCTTCTCTTTTGCCTAAGAAGACATCAATCATCTGAAACGAAGTGGAAATCTTGATAGATGAGATATAGAATCAGTCTCGAGTTACTTGCATCAGTGTGGTGCATTCTTAATACTTACCAACTACAATGGTGTTGACTAGAGAAAGAGAAAAGTTCCAATACAATTGATCATTCTAAATAGCAAGCTTGTGATTCTCAATAATTGACAGAAAGGATGAGGCAGATTAGGCTTCAAATAAATGCAATTTTCTTCAAATGATTGTGTTGAGTCCTGTGTTTCATCTCTGTCGTCAAACCCTTTATTATAATAAATATAATCCTAAAAATATTAATTTATTATAATAAATATTAAAAACTATTTCTCATCTTCGATCCTTAATTTATCCTATTTCATCATCTATCTTTTTTCTATCATTTATATCATTAAAAATATTTTATTCGAACTAAGTTATAAATTGAGGATATTTATGTTTATTTATGAAAGAATAATTTAAAAATATTTGAAGTTCTTAATATAGGTTTGTAAATAAAAAGAAGAGAATGTAAATAATAATCTCCTAAGTTTTTATATTATATTAAATAATATATTTTTCTTATTTTATTGACGGGTGTTAGAACTATGTAGCGGAAAGGTTGGAACAGTTACTGCATTGAAGTGTGAGCTCCCACTCTTCCCATTAATAATAATAATATTATTATTATTATTTGTTCACCTTTTCTCTCTCCGTTTATTTGCAGGTTTCTGTTGGGTACGCGTGAGAGCTCAGTCGAGATCGATTGCTCCCTCCGTCTCTCTCTCTCTCTCTCTCTCTCTGTGGCTCGATCCTTAGCAGCTTAAGCGCATTGAGTGCCTCGTTTGATCGGCCGACAACCTCAACTCCATCGATCGCAAGTCTGTTACTAGCCTCGCAGGTTTGTAGAGATCCATCTTCTTCCCTGTCGCCTTAAAAGTCGAATCTTTTCGTGCGGGCTTCGGGGTCTTCAGTCTGGGAGTGTGGCTGCCAGTTGGTGCCGACAACAAGGAAGTTGCGGGGTGCGTCTCTTCGTTGCGGTTGTAGATCTGAGCGAATGGGAGCGTAAAAGTCCGTTCTTTTAGCGGGTTCCGGTCGCTTTCGTGGGTGTTGGTCCTGCCTGTTTCGTTTTCTCTTGGTGGATTCGAATGTGCTTTTGTCGCTTGCTTGACCTTGATCTGGACTTCGTTCCGTGGAGGCAACGTCGCGGAATTAGACAGCGGTCGAGTCGATTGCTTATTAGATGCTTAGATTTGTTGGTTCTGTCTCGAGGTAGTGGAAAGGTTTTGTTTCGTCCCAGTGTTGGTTGCTACATTTTGCCTTCGATCTGGTTTCTGGTTGCTTGTTTGAGGTCAGTTTTGTAGGAATGTTCGGTTTTCATCGAAAACAATGTTGATGAGATGAAAAAATGTGTGTTTCTTAGCACTTTCGTCTCCAATTTTAGGATCGTCCAGAGCTGGATCTGTTCAAATTTGTAAGAAAAGACAATCTTTTGGCGTAGTCCTGTTGGTGATACTGGATGTCCGATGGAAGTTTGAGTTTTTACGGAGATTGGAGTTTATAGCATTTGATCTGCCTGTTAGATATCTGATCCTTGATTTTGGAGGACTTGGTCTTTGGAATTCGTGGCACTCTTTAGAAAGCATATTGGCCAACTTCAGTGCTTTCGATTGTAACCGAGATGTGACTGCAGGATCAAGCATTTTTTCTGCCTTATTTTTCATAGTCATTGAGATGTTACTCCGCAGACATTTTCCTTCGATGTTTATGAATCTGCTTCACTGCTCTGGTCTATGTGCTTTTCGGTTTCTGCCATAAGTTGCATAAACAACCACATGGGAGTATATTTCGCTGCAAATTGAGGATTGCGTCCTCCATTTGAGTTTGGTGTCAACTGAGCATTTTTCTCCATTTGAGTTGCATATTAGGATTATCGTATCCGTATCTCCCAGGCTTGGCTTGTGCCTTATTGTTCTGCTTAATAAATGACATGACATGTTAATAACATTGACATGATTTTGTTGCTTTTATGATGGCAGATCGTACAAATGAATTTGTTGCTATAAACCGATGTACGATTTGCTGCTTACTTAGTTTCTTTTGAGCTGTTTCTTTCCTGATTTGCAGTTCATGTTAAATTCTTGTTCCAAATTGGTTGTCTGTTTATGCTCCCACTACTTTAGTGTCTCCTCATCTCTATCATTTATAGGAATGAGTCTGATCGCAAAAGTATCTTTGTTGACGTGATGACTATAATGCCTTGATCTGTTTTTGTCCACTTGCTAATCACATTCTTGTAGAAATGAGTATATGAGGGCAACATCTTCGACTATTTTAGGTTTTGATATGGATGACTGTGTTTCTGACATGTTTCTGTTCTGGATTTGCAGAACATATACATGTATGCAATGTATATGTATATATATGCTTCATGGATTGACCTTCAACATGTTGAACTTGACATGAGTATTTCGAGCTTAATTGGAAAAACCATACAATGTGTGTTTAGTTTGGAATTCTCATTTTGTACCAAATTTGATGTACTCCCAAAATCTGTACTCTCCACTTCTGTCAAGGCTTGGGATTAATAATCAATCTGTGGAGGCTACCAACTAGGATGTGCCATAATAATAATGGTGGGGGAAACATGAATATGCAATTCTGGCAACATTCTTTACACCAAGATACAATGAACTAGTGGCACCACAATGGTATTAGTGTGTCAAATAATAGATCTTAAACACATTCAGGAACCACTAATGCTATATGTAATAGAAGTTCAATGATGATGAGGAACAGACCTACGATATTCTGGATGGCTTTGTCAGAAAGAACCTGGTAGTATCTACATGGAAAAATTGTATTACTCGAAAATTTAACTAGAAAAAATCAACAAAATGGTGATCCCATATTTTCCAGATAAGGCTTGATAATTATGCTTATCTTTTTGATGTATTACCTACAAATTTTCTATTATTTGGAAATTAATATAGAAATTATGATAAGAAAAACCTGATCCTCTATTCATGAGACATGGGTCTATGATTATGCTTGCTGTAATTACTGTGAAATGTTACCAAGTATTTTATAACTTTGAAATTCAGACCAAGTCTATCAATCATGTTCTTGCATTTGCAGTCTTATCATGTTTTGATATCCATTCATGATATCTAACATGGTTCATTTGTCCTGTCAACAGGCTGATTGAAAGTAAATTGCTGTCCTGTGCTTTGGTTGCAATTTTGGCCTCACAGTGCCAGTTGTTACAACTCATTATTGATCTCTGTGGATTTTACTAGTTTTTCGTTGGTTTGTCGAGAAATAGTGGAGCCAGCTTGCCAAAACTCGATGGGTTCCAGATTTCTATCACATCAACTCAGCAATGGATTGTATGTTTCAGGCAGGCCTGAGCCACCAAAAGAAAAACCTCTATCAATGAGCTCTGCAGCCATGCCATATACAGGAGGAGATATAAAAAAATCAGGAGAGCTTGGAAAGATGTTTGATCTGCATGTGGAGAAGTCCAGAAAATCTGGACCTCTTAATGTTCCTCTTAAGAGTACATCTTTTGGAGGTGCTGCTTCCCAGTCAGGCCCTATCATGCCTAATTCCTCTAGCCGGTCTAGCTATTCTGGTTCACTCTCTTCTGCAGTTCCTGGTTCCGGTCCTTCACTAGTAATTGTAGGCTCCAACAGACAGAAGTCTAATTCTGGGCCACTTAAACATGGGGATGTTGTTAAGAAGTCATCTGGTCCTCAATCTGGAGGGGTCATCCCAATGGCTCGCCAGAATTCTGGTCCGCTTCCACCAGTGCTTCCAGCTACAGGGCTTATCACATCTGGGCCAATTTCATCTGGGCCTCTTAACTCATCAGGTGCGCCTCGAAAAGTATCTGGCCCTCTGGAATCTGCTGGATCTATGAAGCTGCATAGCACCTTCATTGTTCATAACCAGGCTGTTACGAAGCTCAGCCAGGATGATGGCTATTCATTTAGTGGGAGCTTGCCCAAACTGTTCTTGTGGTGTGTGGGTTTGTTGTTCATAATGGGGTTTATTGCCGGTGGCTTCATTCTTGGTGCTGTTCATAATGCCATACTTCTCATAGTTGTTCTAGTTATATTTGGAGTTGTTGCTGCACTTTGTATTTGGAATATTTGTTATGGAAGGCAAGCGATGATAGGATTCATTGCTCGTTATCCTGATGCCGAGCTGAGAACTGCAAAAGACGGGCAATACGTAAAAGTCTCTGGGGTATGTAGCTTTGCATAGAAGCATAACTTGTTTTATCAGTAATATGGGACAAAAATGGTTGAGACTATATTCACTATGATACTTGGTCTCATTACATAAATTTCACTATAGAAGAACCATATGCATAGCATTGCAGTTCACTATACATATTCTTTTTAACCTGCTTATGAATGATTTGACTGACTTTGATCCAAATATTCTGTCAAAATATGTTTGACTTTTGGAACGTGCAAATTTGTTAATATGTATTTAGTGTCTTATGTAGCATTGAAGATTACTAATTGCTTGGTTTAGCTTGAGGGTTTTTAATTGACATTATAGAGCATTTTAGATGTGGATTCTTCCCCAAATTCGTTTCTACTATCTAGTGCAATGACTTTCGAGGATGAAATATATACTAGTTGGTTCTTTGCAAAGATGTTTCTTATAGTCATTTTATGCTTTCAAGACTGTTGAGGCCTCTTCCAAGTTGATAGAATTAAACTTTCATGCAGGTTGTTACATGTGGCAATGTCCCTCTTGAGTCATCATTCCACAAGGTTCCTAGATGTGTGTACACATCTACTAGCTTATATGAA